ATGAATTTGTTGTACTTTTTGGGACTTAAGTTGTAAAACAAAACCATCAGCTAAAGTATTGATTAATAAACCATCATGTGGTCTCTATCTCTATATTAATATTGCTGTCATTGCTGCCCATAAACACCACCTCAGTTGCAGGCAGCAGCAGGTAGAATATCGTTGAGTTAAATGAAACGTCCCCCAGGGGCGGCAATAAAAGCCGCTGATTTATCAGAGTCCTCTAACATGAAGTCAGATGTTCTTTTTTAATAGAACTAATAGATCAACATAATACTCTAACAAACTGTGCCTCCAATCTCCAGTAGCGATTTAAAGTCCTCAGCAAGTGGAGCATTTATTTTGTTCGTGTGCGAAAGCCTGCATTCATTATCGCATGCATGCCTTGGCTGCAGGGAAAACAAGAGAGACGCTAAAAGTCGTGGGTGCAGTGCCCAGCCCCCGCTGCGGTTCGCCTGACCTCCATTGCTTCGCCGGCGACCCGCCGCCGACCTCGCTCCGTTACGTCACGCAACCCAGGAACGCAGAGAAAAGTGCAAATGCATCCACTTACTCTCCTTTTTTCCCCCCACCTATTAGGACGGTGTTGTATATGTACTTTTTTTTTTTTTTCCTCCAACTGAAACAGCTGAATAGCGTGTCTGGCAGGTTTTCTTCTTCCTCAAGTCTTCCTTTCACGCCACTGCTCTGATGAAAGTCCTGAGCGCGCCTCACTGTCTGCCGCTTTATTTCCAGCTCAGGAGCAGAAGGGCACCTCACTCGACGGAAAGGGGGAAAGAAAAAAGAAGGGAAAAAAAGAGAGAAAAAGAAAAAATGCAAACAAAAAAAACCGAGTTTGTCCTTCCACTTAACAGCTTGTTTGGCGCCGAACGTCAAGGCGAAATGCCAGCGAGGAAAACTTTCTCGCTTTTCAGCCTGAGCAAAGTGGAGGGACATGACGCCTGCCCACGCAGGAAAAGCTCGAGTGGAGAATGTGTCGTGGCTCCGTGGTATAAAATCTTGACAGCTGTGCTCTGGCTAATGAAATAACTTGCTAATGCGGATGTAATGGGTCGTGACAATACATTTTCACACTTGCAATCAGACGAGAAGGTGCTTCAGAGCAAGTACGCCGTGGAATCTAATGCAGGAATCAACCTTTTTGCCACGATCCTGACTTCGGCGCTTCATCAGCCTGACGCCGGGTTTATTTCAGGACGTACTTTGCTGCTGGCTGCTGGTGTAGGTGTTGGTGTGGGGAGCAGTCACATTATAGCTCTGGTTTAGAAATAAGTTATGTCCCTTGATGACAAGGGGAATCGTTGTATCACTATCTATTATTCGTTAAAGGAGAAACTCCCAGCCGCTGGCGGTTCTTGCATTGAAGGCGAGATTCTCCATGAGGGCGACGGCGGCAGGAGTTCATCACACAATCAGTGGGTTGCCGGTTCCATCCATTTCCATTGTTGAGTCCTCTGTCAAGACACTTTACGCGCCTCGCCTGCTGGTGATGGTCAGCACCAGGCAGTACAGGCCATTTACCAAACAATCGAACAACGAGAAAGCTAAAAGTCATCTGAAAGAATCGTAAAACCCTATGTGGTCTCATTCAAGCCCTTTCTTCACAGACTTTAACGGGCTCTTTCCAAGTCTCTCTTGTCAGATCCATCTCCATTTACGAGTTTGTTTTTGAAAATGCCTCAAGAGCGGTAAAACCCAAACCCAGCCGGGTATCACGCACAGACCACGCTCGTTGACTGGCCCTTGGCTTTGCATCAAGAATCACGTCTCAACCACCATTTTCAATCTGCGGCGAAGTGAGATGGCGAGCAGCAAACTGATAATCACGTGGTCAAACTTTGAGGTTCAAGCCAATCGTAAGAGCCTCTTGGAGAGAAATAAAGGTAATTTTAAATATTCAAGACCTGTGCATGTTCATGAGAAAGCCTGTTTTCCGTTTGGTGTGCGTCAAACTCAATGTTAAGAGAGTCAGAATGCAACTTTCTACCTTTTCCTGTAAAATGTATGTTAATATAAAATTGTACTGAGCGCAGCTCCTGCTTAGATAATACAAGGATATGTTTCTAAGCATGTCATGTGGGCCATGTGTTTGAATATTTCATTAAAAGGTTGGGCTGCTCCATTAGGCTTGTAAGCCTAATGAACAAGAGGAAAAGGAAGTCCTGAAAGGTCAGCTGTCCAAAAGCTGACAGTTTGAGGCTCCAGCTCAAGCTACGAACATTTGTTCTTAAAATATCAACATCTTTTCATTGTCCAGTTTAACCTGTCAATGTAAAAAAAAAAGAAAAAAAAAGCACACAACAACCCACAACTAACTACAAAATTCTTCAGACTTTAAGCTTAACATCAACACCATCTACACCATTAACACGTAAAGATAGAACATTGACACCATCTACACATGTAGATGGAAAATGTAGCCAGAAATCAAAACAAGAAAAGTCTTTCAGAAAGTCATTCCTCTGACTATTAAGGTCTGAAAGCACTGTATATTTTTTTTTGTTTGTCTGTTTTGACCATTTCTCATTTTTTTGCAAATCAATAAAACATTTTTGCTTGAAATTTTGTAGGCATGTTGTCAGCAGTTCATAGAATAAAACAATTGACTTCATTTTACTCAAACACATTCAGAGTAAAATCAGAGAAACTGATCATTTTAAGTGTTCTCTTTTTTTTTTTTTCCCCCAGAACTGTAATCAAGAAAACAGAACAATCCAAATGAAAGTCTTGAGTGTGAGCCTTGAATGTGTTTCCAACCTTCCATGGACCAAACAGGGACGCGTCCAATCAGGAAATTCATATATGGGTCCAACAGATTCAGATGGCAAACATGCTAGGAGGTCACCGACTGCAGACGTGAAAAGTAACAAGCCTCGCTCTTACTGTTAGCCAAATATCTGTTTTCATCACGAAGACCCAAGAAGTTGCATCACTTAACTTCTCCAGCGCTAATGAGCACATCAGCCAGTCTATAATTACAGTTGGGATCATGTTCAAAAGGCTGAAAAGTTTCAGCTTCTTAAATGATGTCTTGATTTCTTTCTCTCTGTTTTTATGCACAGCAGCTCTGTCATACACACAGATCTGCTGATGCAGTGGCAGTCAGATACAAGCATGCAAACAAACATATGAGCTGGGATAAACAGGGCATGTGTAATAAGACCTGGCAGTGAAATCAATAGCATATATTCCTCTGTTCTGACACGAGCAGCAAACAGAAAGAAGGGAGCGTTTGTCTCTTCTGGCCTGGAGGGGAATCCCCAAGACAATAAATCAATTCCAATAGTATTTTCCTTTTACTCGATTAAAAACGGCTGTTGCTTGTGGATTTCGTTCGTCCGGATTTGTTCAAACTTTCACACACCACATATCATCTGAACACTTGAGAACTGTGACGCAGCTGCAAGACTAAGTATGAACAAAAAAAAAATATCAAGTGCAAATTCTAAATGCAACAGGATGGAGATGAACAGTAATGAAAACGTTGCAAAATAGAAAGTATTCATGATTCTTCTTTTTTTTTTGTATTTTAAAGAAATTGTAAAAAAACACATTTTATTGATGAGTTTTTAAGTCTTGTGCACACGTAGCCTAGCCTTTATTAAAACAAATATGTCCGGCACATCATTTTAGAAAATAACTATCGTACGCACAAGATTGGTTTCAGAAAAGTTTTCATCCACATGAACTTGCAGAAAGTGTTTTAAATATGCCAAACCCACAGGGGGCAGCGTGGCTAAAACCTGAAACCCATGCCAACCAATTCGATTGGCCTCAAAGCAACCACAACTTCCTGTTAGAAATTAAACATGGAACCAAGAGGTTAGTTTGTGAGAACAGGTTCATAGGTTGAACTACAATTTAGTAGCACATTCGAAAATAAAGTTAATAAGAAATAAGACAGTATTGATTGGAAATTGTGTCAAAGCAAGTGTGGCGCTTTTTGTAATTCACGGCTAAAAAAAACCTGCTACATAAGGTTCACAAGGCCAAAAATATGAAAACCAGCCTTCAGATGTTTACTTCTGAAAACATCAAAAATATTTTTCCTTCCATATGATGTTTGGTCAGTGGTTTGGGTTATCCTACAAAATAAAATCCCAATTAAATATTTTTGAAACCTGTGCTTTTCTACCATTCACAGCACCAGAACGGCGCCGCTTTAGTGACGTGTGCTGGAAATACTTTTGCAAGGAATGAAGTCGACCCATGAATCCATTTTGTCCTGAAGGATCCAGCTCTGTGTGTGTTGGAGCTTATTGTTGGGGACTGAGCAGCAAATTGTTCCAACACTGTGACATCAGCAGTTAAATGACTTGAATTGTTATCTGACATCGCATTAGAGGCGAGTTATAACCTTCCTGGAAGACGCTGGAAGATGCTGGCTGCCTGATGCTGCGTCTGTTCAGCACATATATAATAATTTGCAGCCCTACTTCAAATTATGTGAGAAAAACTGCTACAAGATGGAAAAATTATCCATTTATATTCCATTCTGGCTGCTATGAAAGATGTGGTCAGTCAAACCGGGGAATGAATTAGTTGTGCATAATTTTTATAATGAAATTCTGATTTATCGAAGGAGGGAATATAAAGCCTGGCAGATAATTGCAAATTAGTCTCAAAGTCTGCTGTAGTTGTCCAACAGGGAAAAATCCCCAAGTAGTTAATTAGCTCAGCACCAAGAAAACAATACAGAAAATAAACAGCCCAAGGTTTTTACTACAGTTTATGGCTTGCACGCATGCATGACACGACTGCGTGTGAGCCATGCTTTGCGTGCGTAGCTCACATGCGGCGTCTGAACCTTGCGGGGGGTCTGGGAAGCGTTTGCCATGTGCCACTTTTTACATTTTTTGTGCATGTGGCAGCCCTATGTCAAAACGGGTTACATTTATCCTGAACAACCTTACACACAGCCAGGTGAAAAACGTTTGCTAAGTTCATTAAAAAAACGACAACAAAACCCAAGAAAGAGCAGCAGAGTTCACATCTTTTACCTGAATCTCCGAGCTTGCTTGTCTCCAGGCAACCAGGCACAGCGAACAACATTTCAATAAATTATTGAAACATATGTTTTACAATAATGACTAAAAATATAATTACATGAATTAAACATTTATTGTTTGAAAATTTAGATGTGTTCCTTGTTATTCTTTTTTCACTTTTTTTTTTTGCCCCATCTCTCCAGCGCCCCCTGCTGACCTCATTTCAAAGTCTACTGTTGTCCATCTGCGTTTGGGTCAGCTCGCTGGCCGAGACCTTTCTGTCTTTGCAGCTGAGGTTTAGAACAAATCGTATTTGACTTGCAATCAGGAAGTTGGGGGAACCGAAACCCAAGTTGCCTCCTGATCTGTGAATCAGTGTATGAGTGTGTGGGAGTTGTGAGAGCAGCAGGGTGAAGCATTTATTTATTTATTTATTTTACTCTGGAGTTAAAAAAAAAATGCTCCGAGTGGTTGCCATAACTACAGTCCATTTACTATTCCCGGAATAATCTGATCGGGATCGGGAAGCCGTTACAGAGAAACTGGAAATCATTCCAGTTTGTTCTCAATCCACTGATTTTCTCACAAGCTTGTTGTTTTAAATATGGACGTCTTTTTCATGTTGCCATGACAAGGCATTGTTTGTAGAATCATAACAGACTTCATAACTCAAAGTTGGAAAACAAAATGAAGCATTATGCACGTCTGTATGATTGTATCTGGAAGTTAAAGCTCGTTGCTCTGAGGTACACTTTTTTGTCATTTTGTATATTATTACCTTCTGTCTGTAAAAACGTTGACACCAAACACACTGAGATGAATTATTAAAGCTGACCACATGAGCGAGTAGATATGGTGACATTAAGCATAAAGGATACTCCTCCCATAAATCAGAGGATGTCCAGGTGAGTACAGCATTAACAGAACTGTAAAGGTGTCCATCAGTTGGTGAATTGGTTCCTCTTGTTTGTTTTCGGGTCTCGCAGAGCTCCATTAAAAGAGCATGGAATGCTAACCTGAATAACCTACAGATGTATCAGATAGCTAGAAAACTATTTGATATGTAGGAGATGTACATATCTCCTACAAACGCGGCAGCTGGTTTTAAGCCTCGACCAGGTTGGAAGATTTATTTTTCTGCAGCTATTTGGTTCCTATCCCTCCAGGTCATCAGGGGTGTAAGACACACCTCTACCAAAAACAATGAAGTGGAGCTTTAAACGCTCAAGTGCAGAACATTTGTAGACAAAGTGAAGAAATTCAGATTTTTATTTAATTTTTCTCCACAACATGGGAAACTGAACATTCGGGTTAAGATCACGGTCACTTAAAGGCAGGTGATAAAATAAACGGGTGTTCATTTTGCGTCGTGTTGCCCATGAGAAAGTGTTGGCAACTTTGTCAAAGAAAAACCTGGAAGTTGTGAGAGCTCCCAGGAAATACCAGGACAGGCTACCCGCCTGCAGCGGTGTGATGATGGAGGGGGAAACAAAACTGAAAAAAAAAAAAAAAAAAAAAAGAGGTCATGTCACATTTTCTGACACCAAAGCAGAATCTGTACACGTAACATTCGGAAAATCTGTGCCTTTCATTCGATTCTGCATCAGGGAGGGAAGCAGTGACCAAGTCTCTCCATTTCATTACTTTCAGTTCAAATTGAGCCTCTTGCAGCTAAGCTACCAGTGATTATGTGCAGTGCTGCTACTCCAAATCTAAATTGTGCTCTCAGGGAATAAAAGTGTCACTTCTAAATAAAAATCCTAATCCAGTCGGAGACATGGAGATAAAAACGACTGGCTGAGAGCAAAGCAGCCGAGTTTCCATTAAACATTAAGTCCAAAAGAGCAGCGCTGCCGTTTAATGTCCGCTCATAAACCGAAGTCATAATGTGGATCCTCTTCGCTCCATTTGGCTCGCAGTGTTCAGACTCCACAGTAACTCTTACGTAAAGGCTGCTGTGAAGAGCGAGGGAGGGAAACGCCGGGTGATGAATGGGTTCGGTCTGCAGAGAAAAGAGGATGGAGATGGAGGAAGAAAATGCTCAGCGAAGCGTATCTGCCTCATCTTATTCTTTTTTTTGTTTTGTTTTCATTTGCACTCTCCACACAGAGATGCCTCAGAGTAACAAGCAGCATCTATCTGAGCCGTTTGGGTTTCTTAATAGAGACAAATCCTCCTAACAGTTCTATGCTCACGCTCTTGTGCGAACAAGGCCCACTGGGCTATTCCAACAGGATTATTTCATCGTCAGATGTTGCACATGTTATCCATTTTTACGGCGCTGCAGCTACTTCCCCATTCGCATTTAGACACGTCTGATTACCGCAGTGCCTTTCACCCTGCAGATACTTTCAAGTTATCGAAATGTTGAATTTCCCAGGCTCTATATTTGGAGGGCTTTGGCCCGCCTGGAGACAGTCTGTGCCCAGCTTGGTGAAATCCACTCTGAGGAGGAAGCTTTCACACATCGAGCTCCACTGTTACCATGGAAATCATTTCCAGCGACTTCCGTTTTGTTGTTGTTGTTTTTCTTACTTTGGCAGATATGTTCAGATTAAGAACAGGTACGGCAGAGTTTGGTTTATTATTGCAGCAGAACACCTTCAAACGACAACATGAAGGTAGATTGTAAAAGTTATATTAGAATGGAAGAAGTACATTCATATGTGGGTATTTTTATTCCCATACAGAAGAATGCTTTAAAGGGGCAGTATTATGCCCCTTTAAACATAACACTTTAAAGGGGCATTGACATGAAGCTCATGTCACATTATGTCATGAGCTTCACGTCAGGTCATAATGTAATTCCCTCATCAAAAACACACCTGCAGTGTTGCTTCGATTCTTTCGTGCATGTTTGAGAAATCCTTCAGTCTCCATGGCAGCCACTCAGCCATTCAAAACGCCTGAGTGGACCTAGCCCCGCCTTTGATGACGAAGCTCCTCCGAGTTGCGGTTTCCAAGCTTCAGAGCTTCCTCCTCACAGAGCAGTCCCCCTCCCCACTCAGCTCCTGCAGACTAGCCAGCAGCAATTAGCAAACATTTAGTGGAATATCTGCTGGGATCTTTATAGGAACTACTTCTCAGTGGAACGTTGAAGGGTTAATACAGGAGCCATGTTAGGATGACTTCCTAAAGGTGGAGTTTCAGAAAGTTCAGAAGTTTGTAAAGAAAACAATTTCAAAGTGTTGCATTGCAAAGGTTTCTTTTAAGGCATATTTGATACATGTAGCATTTTTACAACAACTGGAGGAAACATAGTTGATTGATTTTGCTATGAAATACCACCACATCCCTGGAAGACACATAATAACGCTCCTTTAAAAGTTTAAAGGGACAGTGTCTTGGAATGGCATTCCATCAGATAGATTATAGCATAAATGCTAACCCACGTCGACATGTCTTGGGTTCTTTGGGAAAGGAGAACATCGTTCACTGAAGCCAAGAGACTCATAGTAACCCTGGATGAGCTGCAGGAATGTAGAGCTCAGGTGGGGAAAATCTGTTAAGATGACAACAGTCAAATCATTTTATCCAAAAATGACTGACTAATTGTTTTTAGTCAATGACTATTTTAATCAATAATCTTTTCTCAGTGATGTGACTAAATTGAGATGAGTACAAGACCTCAATGAGCTCTGAATTACTTGAACTAAGCCATCAGAACTCCAATGTTGTCACTCGCACTTCTTTATCTACTCATAATCCATTATACACTAAGCAACCTAAAATATTCCCTTATTTGCTCTGTGAACCATGCTACAACACCAGCGAGCAGAAAACAAACATTTCCGCACCGACTCAAAGGTGGAACTGGGTTCTGAATATCAAATGACTTCTCTTCCACGCGTCAGATCCCAGCCTTACAGTTAAAACATTGAGAAGCACAACCGTTTAGTTCAGATGTCAGAGGCAGTGTTTATAGCTGTGTATAGTTGTTTTTCTTCATACCTAATGAATTCAACAGAAGGACATAATTGCATTTCATGTCCTTCTCTGGACATGAAATCCATTTCCAGTCAATGTTCGTATGCCTATAAGAAGAAAAGATGCCACAGTACTGTCCACACTGGGCCCCAGCTGTTCTGTTTCTGTAAGCTAATAATAGAAAATTGAAGCTGCAATTCACACAGGCGTACCAACATTGAGCAAAAACATATTGGAAAATGGCTGCCTAGTCCAATCACTGCTTATTTCAGCTGCAGCGTTTGCTTTATAGAGCCAGAGTATGTATGTGTGTGTGTGTCTACAAAAGCACTGATCTAAACAGCATCTTCTTTTTGAAAAACTGAAGTAATTATTAATTAAGCAGAGGTGCGTCAGACAGAAGGTTGCCACACAACAATCACCTGTTTCTCTTTCAGCAAGCTTTGCCTTCGCCACTCTGCTGTTGACAGCGCGATCCAGCATTAGATAATTTACAAAGAAATACCCGTTTGTTTTCATGTTGCTTCCTCTAACTGTCCTATCCTGCATCAGAGGATCCGCAGATAAGAAACCAGCAGAATAAAACGACAAAACAGGAAGGAACAGGCAATGAATCGGGTAGTTTGAATTTATTGAAGTGGGTTCCTGTGACGGTGATGTCAGCAGTGAGACGGAGAGCTGCAGTACCAGAGCAAAGCTAATCAGACTGGAGCAGATCTAAGCTGGTTAATATGACATAAGCCTCAAACTTTGCATAAGTCACCATTTCTGCACTTTGGCACTGTACTTCCACAGCAAAAATACATTTCAATTCATCCATTTTTTAACAAAAATGCATACGATTCATATACTTTTTTTTATATTTCAAATGAATATTTTGCATTTTGTGAATGGGTTCTGGAAACGTTTAACAGATATTTTGAGAGTTGATTAACTTAGCAGAAATATCAAATTCACCTTAATGTGCATTAATACACACAGTGGAAACCATCTTGGCAATACAGCAGAAGGTAATATCTAGAGTTCTCCTCTCCATTCTGAGGACTACAGCCAATGAGCGGCAAAGAAAATAAATACCGTAGTGTGTCTCATTATGCCTTGGTATT